GCTACATAGCGAAGTTCTCAAAAGAAAAAAAAAGTTATTATGCAAATCAAGTTCGGTGATGCTGAGCTCACACATTAACACATGAGAAGTTCTAGGTTCCATATCTGGCATTAAAGAAAGAGAAACTGGCCCGTGAGATGGCCCAGCAGGTCAGGGTACTTGCTGCCTCAAACCCCATGACCTGAGTTCGATTCCTGGAACCCACAGGGTAGAAGAGAACTGATTCGTGCAAGCTGTTTTCTGACCTCCATACCCAGACCACAGCGGGACACACAGATGAAAGCATGGCACACAATTAACGCAATAATTAAAAAAATCTATAGGTATAACAGGTGTGTTTTACCCAAAAGTATACTTTCCCTAGAGTACTTGAAGTTTAAAAACCCCTGGAACCTCAACTCACTCTTCCTTAACCCACATACACTGGGAAGGACCCACTTCACTTCAGAGCTCCCAGGTAGCATGGTGGCATGCTAGGGGACTGAGGGCCCCAAAGCCACCTCACCCAGAGCCTTCTTCCACCTCTGCGTGTCCTCAGGTTTCTGGGAACACATTCTGGGGAACTGGGTCCTCCATGCATCTTCTGTACATTCTGGGACCTTGGGGCTGGTCTATTTTTTTTGAGACAACAGCCATTGCTGTTCATAGAACGTGCACGGGATGAGCCCTCTCGCAGGTTCTATCTGGAGCCCCCAGGGGGGAGAATCCAGGCTTAAAGCTTGGCTCTCAAACCCCCAATCCTCACCCATGACTTTAAGTCCATCAGTTTCACTTCTCTGATCCTGGGCTGTTTCGTGGTCAAGCAGGCCAGCACCCAGCCAGCAGGCAGACTGAGTAGGGGAGTAGGGATGCTAGTGCCCGGTGAGAAGACAAGGCATGCGTGTGTGTGTGTGTGTGTGTGCGTGTGCATGTGTGTGCATGTGTGTGTGTGTGTGTGTGTGTGTGTGTGTAGCTGTCAGAGGGGCCCGGAAAGCAGGCTAGTGTGCTTACCTAGGAAACTGCTCTTGTTCAGCCTTGTGACCTGAGATGAATATCAAATGGGTTCATAGAAATGAAGGACAGAAAACAGTGTTTAGCCAGGAGCAAGAGATCACTGAAACAGCCCACCCTAGCCCTCAGTCTCAGTTCTGGGTCATCCCTTTATAACATGGAACCCTTATTAGCTCTGCCTGTTACTATTGGTGTGTTTTTGCCCACCTAGTCTGTCCTGGGTTCCCCCCTCTCTGCCCGCCATCCTTGGGACCTAGTCCCTGCTAGGTGACTCTCATCCCTCCCTGAATTCTGCCCTCCCTGTCATCTGCTGAACCACGTGTACAGTGGAGGGATCCAGAAAAGCTGGTTGCCAGGGCAACAGAAGATAAAGCCCTTGCACTGTCTGGCTGCTGATTGGCTGAGACAGGTCCCACCTCCCGCCATCCTGAATGTGGGGGTGCAGAGGGAAGGGTCTTTGATGGCAAGGAGAGGTACCAGGGTGCCAAGCCGGCTCAGGATTGTTGCCTTTTGGCCGACTCAGAGGCCTTCAGACCAGAGGAGCTCCATCTCCCGTGGGAGTATTGGCCTGTCACTCCCTGCCTCTAGCTAGCATAGCGGCCACAGATGGCAGCGTCTCTGGGGACAGCAGCTGCGACTGAGTCTACAGGCCAACCCTGAGCCGCTCAGGCTGAGGCAGTGCGCTCTGTGCAGAGTGCAGACCAGGCGTCTGCGGGTATGAGGTGAGTCTGCAGGCATGCTGGGGACACTGAGTGTAGCTAGCGGCTTGGGGACAGGGAGTGGGGCTCTGTAATCTTTATAGAACCTGGGCTGAAAAAGTCTTGGCTATTTTCTTAGCGATTGTCTGGCAACCCTCACCCCCATCCTGCCACTGTGCATAGGGAACCCTGCAGCCTGTAGAGGGTGAGGGGTGGTCCAAGGTCACAGAGAGAGATCGTGGGTGTTTTCCTTGAAATCAGGAAAGGGTCTAGGAGTCCTCTGCTGCCCTAGAATGCATGGATTTTTGTCTAGAGTATTGGAAAGGCAGGGGGACCCCAAGCTCTGCAAGTGAAATAGATAGATACCGCTTTGCCCCAGACTGTCATTTTCAGACTGAAGTTTGGTTCTGTCCTGGGGCCCCTCTCTCCCCCTCCCACCGCAGCCTCCCCACCCAGCAATTCTGAACGCTTTATTTGGCTCTCCAGAAAGGACGGTGTGTAGGAGGGGGCTGAGCCCTGCACCGTCTCCACCTCTGCTGCTCTAGTCCTGACTCAAGACCACGACTGCCCTTTAATAAGTCCCTCCAGAAATAGGGCACCTTTAGTTGTCAGCTGTATTTCAGGACAGCCAATGGAGACCCTGGGGAAGGGGAGAGACAGGTAGACACATGACCAGGAAGCAGCATCTCTCTCTCTCTGAAGGTGACAGGTCACCTGAGACTAGGGGACACAGGAGGAACTGGAGTTTGGAAGTCAGAATAATGGCGTTTCTCCTCAGCCTGCTCTGGAGGTGACTCTGTCCACTCTCCTGTCCCGCTCGCCACCAGAAGCCAGGGTGGCTCATGTCCTCACGCTTGGGAAGTTTCTTCCTGGCGCAGAGGACTCGAGCCTCAGGTCATCACTGGGAATGAGCTCTGCCACTTCTCAGTTGAGTAATCCTTTGCAAAGTGCCTTCCTTGTCTAGGCGTCTGTTTGTCCTCTGTCTACAGACAGTGACACCCAGCCAATATGCCCTGGCTAAGCCTGTGAAAATGCTGGACTCTGCCGGGTACGCAGAAGGGGGGGGTCCTCAGACCCTGCTTTCCTAGACCTAAGGAAGGTTTAGGGGTGGGGTAAACGGACCCTGCATTTTCCCATCCCTGAAGAAAGCGATTGGTGATGAGATTTTTGAAGTACAAGAGGAAGTTTGCCCAGTAATTAAGAATGCAGAGAACTAAGGAAGACCAAAGCAGCCGTGAAGGTGGGGACTGCACAGCAGCAGGTGACTGGCACTGGGTTCCACGAGAGTGCATAGCGTGGGACTTGAGGTAGGGAGGCTGAACAGAGCACAGATGGTGGTTGCATTTGTTTCTTTTCTATTACTGTGACAAATGCCACCAGCAAGGAAACTCGGAGAGTAAGTTGGGCTTATGGTTTCAGGGGGCCGGAGATCGTGATGGTGGAATAAAGGTGTGATAGCGGGAACAGCCGAGGGCTCCCGTTTTTATCCACAAGCAGGAGGCAGAGAGAGAGAGAGAGAGAGAGAGAGAGAGAGAAGCAGAGACAGAGAGAGAAAGAGAGCATGAGTGAGATCATTGGGATTAGCTTTTGAAAATGCAAAGTTCATCTCTAATGACACACCCCCTCCAACAAGGCCACACCTCCTAATCCTTCCCAGACAGTTCCACCAACTGGGGACCAAGTGTTGTAACATAGGTGCCTGTGGGGACCATTCGCATCCAAGGTACCACCAGGACAGAGTCTGAGCAGTCTGGGTTCACGTGACTTTTGTGAAACACTTGACATGTTCCCGTCCCTGTTCCTGCTTTCTCCTTCTGTGGCTCATTCAAAGCAACAGTTGTCTGGCTGAGATGGCTGCGGGAAGCCCCGGGTTCGATCCCCAGTACTGCATAAACCAGGCATAGTGTCAAACTCTTGTAATCCCAGCACAAGGGGGGCGAAGGCAGGAGGACCAGAAGTTCAAGGTTATCGTCAACTACGTAGTGGATTTGAGGCCAGCTTAGACTATATGAGATCCTGTTTCAAAAAAATTTTTTTTTGTTTGTTTTTGAGACAGGGTTTCTCTGTGTAGCTTTGGAGCCTGTCCTGGAACTCCCTCTGTAGACCAGGCTGGCCTCAAACTCAGAGATTTGCCTGCCTCTGCCTCTGGAGTGCTGGGATTATAGGCGTGTGCCACCATACCTGGCTAAAACCTTTTTTTTCTTCTCTTTTCTTTTGTAAATGGGGCTGGTGAGATGGCTCAACAGTTGGAGTCACTTCCTGCTTTGCCTGGCAACCTGAGTTTAATCTCCCAGACCCATACACCCCTACGGATTGATTCAACAACTGAGAGTTATCCTCCTACCTCCACACTCATGCTATCACACGCGTGCACACGCATGTGCACATGCTTAAATGCATACATGCACATGCACTCGCGTGCACACACATACATGAGAAATAAAATGTTTAAGTTTAATTTACAATGTACTTAGGAACTGGGGCCTGTTTTGATTTCTTTTTTCAGACAAGGCAGCTGAAGGTCAGTGTATAAAAACAACATTGTAGCGCCTATACACGGCAGGCATGGGTATGGGAAATCTTACATACACTGACCCACTGAGCAGCCCTTTTTTTCATTTACAGCCAAACACGCTCTGATCTTACCCAAGCTTTATGGTGCTAGCCGACCGTGGCCTCAGAATTACAAAACTGGGCGGTGCAGGCGCTGTTGATACCAGGCCGGGGGCCCTGGGGATGGGTGTTTGCGCACCGTATTTTCACCAGTCCACACTTTGCCTGATATAGCTGTGGCCAAGTCATCCTTGCCTGTGTGCATGGGTGGGCGGGGTGTCAGCAAGCCGCAGAAGGCAGGGTTCAGCCAGGCCTCGGGGTGCAGGGAGACCAGAAGAGGTTCCTCTTCACCTGTCCTCTTGCAGAGAGTGCTTTGCGAACCCACAAGGATTAGTGAATGCTCACCATGACCTGTGCTGGAGTTGGACCAGTTTCCCCTTCCATCCCAGGAAGTGGCGGCCCAGACTTAGGCAACTTGTACAGCGGCCCAGACTCTGGAGCCAGCGCAGCTGTAAAAATTTCTTGACGAATGAGTAGGAGCTGAGTGTTCTCATGTGAAGGGGACACAGCTCGGTGCCTGTGGGAAGGCCGCTGAGTCACCCTGACGTCTTGGTCAGGTATAGTCTCCCACTACCCTAGGCAGTCTCCCTATCTGTAATATGATGCTGGCAGGCTCTCGGGTCTCTCTCTCTGGGTGGGCACTACCAAGGAGCCTTCTCGTGTCCTCATGACTGTGTCTTGGCAGCCAAAGCCGCCGCGATGCCGCACTTCCTGGACTGGTTCGTGCCTGTCTACCTGGTCATCTCTGTCCTCATCCTGGTGGGCTTTGGAGCTTGCATCTACTACTTCGAGCCTGGCCTGCAGGAGGCGCACAAGTGGCGCATGAAGCGCCCCCTGGTGGACCGTGATCTCCGCAAGACGCTGATGGTGCGGGACAACCTGGCTTTCGGAGGTCCAGAAGCCTGAACCAGAGGACAACCCTTTGATCTTTCCATCCATGCATCTGTAGCCCAGTAGAGGCCCTTGCTGTTCAGGGAGGCCCGCCCCTTGTGTAGACACCAAGCACTCGAATACCTTATTTGCTGCTCCGGGCTCAAAATCATGCCTTCCCTTCCTAGCTCTGGGGACATCCTCTACTGGCCCTCAGTGCCTTTAAGTGCTGTCCAGCCCTCTTCCCCTCCACTGAATTCCCAATTGCTTTCGGCTCCCATCTCTGCCTCGCAGCTGCGCCACCGAGCTGGCTTCAAAGCTGCCCCAGGAGAAGCCTTTCATCAGAAGGATGAAAGTTCAGACCAGCCCCGCCCACCTTGGTGAGCTCAGACTTAGAATGAGTGACAGTGTATGGTGGGAGTGCGCAGAAGGGCAGGACTTTGGAAAGTGTGTGTGTGTGTGTGTGTGTGTGTGTGTGTGTGTGTGAGAGAGAGAGAGAGAGAGAGAGAGAGAGAGAGAGAGAGAGAGAGAGAGAG